GTATAGTGCCTTTATTGATTATGTTATCAATAAGCTGGTTAATAGCAGAGCACTCCAATGCAAATTATGAGCTCATAGACAAAATGGTATAAAGTTTTACTGTTGATCATCTGATGCATGATAAGATCAATCGTCGCACAAAAAAAATCCCACTGAAAGCGATAACCATCCCGATGGTAATTGCTTTTATAAATGGTGAAAAATGGGATGGGCTACCACCCATTAGGACAACATATATATTGGATAGTTGTCGCCGGCAATGCTTTATTAGTCAATGAATTGAATACGCTAATAATACTGCCTCCCGGGATCCCACAATTAGTACAACTGTTTGTTGTGGCTCCGTAGCCGTGGTTACTACAGTATTTGACCTGCATTATGGTCACATGAGATTTTGCTCTAAATCAGTGCAAAGACGAATGTTGTTCAAAGAGTAGTGTGCTTAAGCTTCGAAGCCATAAATTTTAGAGTAAAATATATAAGCGCAAAGGCGAAAGGATGCTAGTGTATTCTGATTCTAGGAATAAAGATTCTATTATTGGCCATTCAGCTGGTCACACACAGGTTTAACATATACGACCCGATCGTTGTAACCTTAAAAAAGCAATATAATGTACCAAATGATACGATCATTTTAAGGACATTAGATAGCAACTGTAAGAGGCTCCAGGATATCAAACTAATAGTTTCGTTCAACCAGAGTCTCGCGATTGTTGGCGAGATCTCCGCCATACGAGGGTCTGAATTAACTGATGATGCTTTTCTAAAACATTGTAAAGGTAAAACGACATATGTCTATATATGAAACCCTTTCCTGACATCTTTTCTTTGATCATTCAAACTAAGTGTATAGATAAAGCTTAAAAGAAGACAATTCTATACTGCTTCAGGAGCAGAAGCCTATGTAGGAGGTGTTTCTTAATCACCCAATGAAAAGGTGCAATTTAACATGAAATGAGAAGTTTTTGTTTTCTCCAAGTTAGGGAATGCCATGACGTGTGGCGTTACAAGCAACGCAGCTTCTAACTAGCCTGTGTCATCCGTCATCTCCAATTTTCTAAGCAGATGCAAATCAGTCTGTCAGAGACAAGTTTTCTCCAGATCCCAGTATGGCGATTTCAAGAACGTACACGTGATGAATTGATGAAAGGGACTAATCAAAATAAGGGTTCCACGAAGTACTATGACTAACAAGTGCCATATGACATATTCCAATTACAAATCGCATGACGCCACATTCTTATTACGAGATTGCAATAGACACTCCTGCACATCCGGGTACAAATTTTAGGTAGGTAATAATAATAGAGCATTTAAGTTTAACGTGAATGAAACGCGTGACGAAAACTTGAAAATGCAAGACTTCCAAAACTAAAGAACAAGAATCTAAAATCTTAACAATGATGCGACTGTCGCCGTCAGAAGCATGATAACTACGACTCGCAATTCTCATTAATAATGCATTCATTTTTTTAAACACCTTTGTGCCAAAATACATTCGTACATCAGTCAGATCAAATGAGCCGTTAATACTCTACATCAAGCTGTCCTGACGCACATACAAGAATTAATAACATGATGGCAAAAAGAATTTCAGATTGCAATTTGCATTCAGAAATAACTATAATATTTTGATCAAAGTACATTTTCTCGTTCTGTATTGCTAATACAATTGTATGGAATGCCAGAAGTATACAGTGCAAAGAAGAAGTCCCAAGACGAGGTTGGGATCGTAAGTCATAAAATCAATTAGCAATCCTATCTATCTATCTATCTATCTATCTATCTATCTATCTATCTATCTATCTATCTATCTATCTATCTATCTATCTATCTATCTATCTATCTATCTATCTATCTATCTATCTATCTATCTATCTATCTATCTATCTATCTATCTATCTATCTCTCTCTCTCTCTCTCTCTCTCTCTCTCTATATATATATATATATATATATATATATATATATATATATATATATATATATATATATATATATATATATATATATATATATATATATGTAGGCTCTTCAACTAACCGAAAACATAAAAGAGCGAAATCCATTAAGTTTCATAAACTGAAAAATAGTTTATTTCCCTAGATTAAAAAGTGAAATTTTAAAAAGAACTTATTGTATTGCGAATTAACTACCATATTATCAAAAATTATCTATAACCAGTATTAATGAATAAAATTCTAATTAAATCCAGCGGTATTCGAAATAAGGTCCAGCACATAATGCGGTGACGTAACTTTAGGAGCATGTGATGGAGAGATGTGCCAACAGTATTTTGATTATTCCTTATAATAAGGGTCGGGAACCTGTTTTACATAGCGTGTAACTTTTTCCAGATTAATTAAAAAGTGAACAAGAGCGTGCCACCAGTAAGAGAGTAACACTGTTAAGATCGAGATTTTTGGCAGCTCTTCGCGTGCCACACAACACCTCTTGACGTGTTACCTTTTGGCACGCGTGCCGTAGGTTGCCGACGCGGCAATAATATTTTAATCAAAGATGGCTTTGTCTGAATTCACCATAATTAAATGTTAGTGTTTCTTTCTGGGATTATTATAGATTAACACTTTGTAATAATTTAAACAAATATTTTTCACCAAAATAGCAAACTGAACACAAAAACAGAACTGATTCTGCTAGAGGATGTTAAAGCAAGAATTGGTAATTTCTCAAATAAACAAAGTTATAAACCCCTCTACCTAACCTACGTAATAATTAGAGATTTCTGAAAATGGTATGAAAATTTAATGGAATTTTCCATTCTAAAACATTCTGGAATGTTTACAAGATAATATCTGTTACTAAAATTGTAATTAAAAAAGGTGGTAAACATCAAGGCAAAACCTGCTTATACATCGGAAATGCCAAGGTCCAAAACTTAGAAACTGATCCTAATATTTAAACCATATTAACTATGTATTATTTGTATATCAAAATAAAAGATTCTGGTCAGAATGCCAATAAACTAGATTTTGGACAAGGTCAAGTCCAAAATACAATTAAAAATAAGTTATAATCAAGAATAAAAGAACCTAACACAACACAAATTAAATTCACATAGCTGTATGTATATACCTAACAAAATACAAATTATATGTATGTATGTATGTATGTATGTATGTATGTATGTATGTATGTATGTATGTATGTATGTATGTATGTATGTATGTATGTATGTATGTATGTATGTATGTATGTATGTATGTATGTATGTGTGTGTGCGTGCGTGCGTGCGTGTGTGTGTGTATGTGTATGTATGTATGTATGTATGTATGTATGTATGTATGTATGTATGTATGTATGTATGTATGTATGTATGTATGTATGTGTGTGTGTGTGTGTGTGTGTGTATGTATGTATGTATGTATGTATGTATGTATGTATGTATGTATGTATGTATGTATGTATGTATGTATGTATGTATGTATGTATGTATGTATGTATGTATGTATGTATGTATGTATGCATGCATGCATGCGTGTATGTATGCATGTATGTATGTATATATATATGTATGTATGCTTGCATGCATGCATACATGCATGTATGTATAGATGTGTGCGTGCGTATGTGTGCCTTTTCGTTATGTGATGGCCTCAATTCCGCGGTGGCAATAATATTCTGTTCTATTTTTCAGTTAAAGATGCAGTCTAAAATTGATCATTGATCAACAAATATAGTTAGGCTTAAACCCTGTATATTATCGACAGGAAGATAACAGCAACTGATATGCCTCTGTCTGGATTCTGTGTCGATAATCAAACCAAAAAAAAGCAATATCTTCAATGGTATCCACGAGATTCTTCATTTTCTACTTTACCGAAGGTCAGCATGTATCACATTCTGATTACCAATACTTGTGCGTAACGGTTATTCATGATATTTAATTATTTTTACTCGTTTCTTTGCTTTGTTTTGCAGTTCCTCAGAACTCATTTTTTGAAGGTTTCACGGATTTTCCAAAGCTTGAGTGTTGATGAAGAAGTGCAGATATAAGACAAAAGAAGATGGCATGAGAAAGAACCTATAAAACTACTGCTGAGGTCATGACTACAATCGATTAAATTTCAAAATTGAATTCGATAGCATATTATTTTATTCCTCAATGATGGTTGAATTTACAGCATTTATATTAAAACCCATGTTAATGGTGAAGCTATAGATTTTTAAATCTTTTCTAACATATATGTGATTTCCATCCAAAGAAAGTATAAAGATTGGATTGAAGAGTCCGTGTTATCAAAATAATCAAAACAAAGCCAAATAGATATCAAAGTAAAAAATAAATTTCTCTCCACACCCAAAACTTGCTTTTTATTACACAAGTCTTCTTGTATGTGAAATGTGTTGAGGAATTCCCTTTCTCAGTTGACTATTAGACATGGAATACTTATAAAATATATAATCTGCATATTCAAGGTTAGAACTAAGGTGCAAAAGTTGGACTTACATCAGTCAAAACACAAAATCAACGGTTTTAGAAGTAGCATGTGGCACATCTTAAGTAATCTTGTGTTTAAGCCAGTGACAAAGTCTTTTCAACAGCCTCTTGAACTAAGCAAAGTACAGATCCTCAATGTTCAAAATCAATGTTTGCATTTTATTATAAACCTAAATTTATACAATACAACATGTTGTAAGCAAACACTGTTTTATTTCAGCAGGCATCACATGACGCATACTACACATCTCACTGCGTAATTTATAAGTGTTATGATATGATGTTGAAACACCTGGTAAGAATGTGTGATTTTAAATTTTATTTACATGATTTAATTAGTTTTCTGCAGGACTGTGCATTGTAAACGATTTCTAAAATATAGACGGAGTATTAAGTACTAAGCAATCTAAAACATTACAGACAATGTTAAAAAGGGAAATACAATATCTACTTAATTCTCTATCACATGATGTGCTGAATCTCTTAATGCTCAGTGTCAAGCGAGGTAGCTGTTAGTACCATTTTTGTAAGTCTTTTTATGACTCGGTCGAGGATCAAACCCACGACATTCCGCATCCGAGGCGAACGCTCGAACCACTAGGCCACCGGAGCGGTTAATGGTATAAATGAATTAATAGCAATGAAATATACTATTATGAGCAGTACTAGTGTCTCTGGGTAATATTGGTCTGAATGAAATAATAGCAGTGAGATCTGCTCGTATGAGGAGTGCAAGTGTCTTTGAATAATAGTGACACGAATTATATAATAGCAGTGAGATATTGTAGTATGAAGGGTTCCAGTAATTTTAACTTTAATTAACAATGGTATGAATTAAATAATAGCTTTGAGATTTACTAGTATGAGGAGTACCAGTGTCTCTGGGTAATAATTGTATGAATTAAATAATAGCAATTAGATTTACTAGCATGAGGGATTCGATACCATCTACAAGAGAATGGTATTAATTTAATTAGAACCGCTTTTTAAATATACAGATAAATAAAGAACATGGAAATATATAACGAACATATTTTTGGCATTTAAAAGATTTAGAATCATAAGATGATAATAATTGAAAGCAATAGATCTAGAAAAAGAGAGGTGTACGTTTTGTGTAATAGGAGTCAAATAATTGCATAGGTCAACTTATTATTATTATTATTATTATTATTATTATTATTATTATTATTATTATTATTATTATTATTATTATTATTATTATTATTATTATTGTTATTATTATTATTATTGTTATTATTATTATTATTGTTATTATTATTATTATTATTATTATTATTATTATTATTATTATTATTATTATTATTCAGAAGAAAATTTGAGCGACAAAGGACTAGATTTTGTAATTCAAAACTTGGGATTTTTTTCCGGGTGAGTCATTTGCAGATTTATTGGCATCAAAATTCATATATGGCCCTTGGCTTTTATCAGAATTTCATGGTATCAATATCTCTATAAAAAAATACCGCCCTCTACTTGGAATAGCCAAATCCTCTAGTTCATCAGCTGATAAAAATAGAGAACACAGCTGTCCTTATCAACCCTGTGTTCATTTATTCAGCAATCATAATGATTTTGTAGGAGAAAATTGCATTTTCATTTTTATCCTCTGGAGTTTGAAACTTAGCCAACTAATCCAAATCTCTATTTTTTCACCGTAAAAGGTTGAACAGTCGGAAAAGAAATAAGTGTTTTGAGGGAAATCATCTATATTGTTTGTCCTGCATTTCAACAAACAGCAAAAATGGTGCAATATGTACAAGGCGATTACATTTTTTATACTGCCAGGACAGCACTAAAGAAAAGTTGACGCAAAAAAGAACCAGTTTTAGGACAGATAGCAATATTAAGAATACATCCAACGCCAATCATGTGCGTGTGATACACTTTCAACATTTAGCCAGATTTACTTCCCTTTAAAACGTCGTCAAAACTTGTGCAGTTTCTAAAGATATTATCAGGAATTCGATTTATGGTCACTTATGAATGGCAAAGGAAGAGTATTATAAACAGGAGAAATTTGGATAACTTAAAAATGCTTTGAATAATATTTGGAAGGTCTACAAGGACCACACTTTTCAGGTATTAAGTCATACAGCAATGCTTGCAAAGTCTTCACCATCAACATTTTACTTCAAGTTTAAATGAAGCTAACCATGTACTATGTGCTGATGTATAATTTTGTATGGATTCATCGTACTTAGAGCAGGCCATCTTCACTGTAACAATGCCGATTAGTTGGAACTGGTTGCAGTAATAATATATCTCTAACGAGAGAATTCTGTAAACATTTTTGTACTTATTTCACTCAAAGAAAAAAAAAAAAACAATAAAAAAGAATGCAATTAAATAAAATAGAAAATAAACAAAAATTAAATGATCAAATGTTTTAGTGACTGTAGGATTTGTTCCTGTTTGAAAGGTCAAATACTCCAAAACCAAATTTGTAGTTTATATAATAATTGACTGCACCAGATAATTAAATTAAATTACTTAATGCATTTCAATGCAAGAACACAATTATACCACATTTACTTCGTCACGCCAGAATAAATTAAGGAAAGTTTTTTTTTTCACAGTTAATTACATTTTAATTAAGCCATATTTTCAATATTGTTTGCATATGATGAAAGTTAGAAATTTTTTAGTCCCATTACTTTTTACTTCAAGAAAGTCTGACAGCATGGTATTTGATATGGAAGGTAATCTCTACGGAAAGAAATAAATGTAAGCATAGCTTCCTACATCGATGGACATAAGCGCATCGAGACATATTGTTTAGTTGTTGACGTAAACAAGTGGATACTGAACTATTTCAGTGCTTCGGGTTTCTGGATTTCATTGGATGAAGGGACAAGGCACTACATCCAATCAAAATCAAGTTGTTCAAATTTGAAAGGTGTTCCGACTTCGTCGCAAGAGCAGTACACAACGGAACGGATTCATAGATAAACAATTTTCCACCGCCGGTCCATGTTGGCTCAAATGCATCCTTTCCGTCAAATACCCCCTGTAATGGATTATCTCTGGTATGTAGTCGTAAGTTAGACGTTGAAAGTACAAAGTATCCTTGGAAGTCAATATCCTCCACCAGCTTTAACCGATGTACAAGACAGCACTGTTACAAGCTATTGGTTGGAGGTCATAAAATACTAAGGGAGGCAACTCTTGAAATCCAATAGATATTGCTAGTACAAAGTACTGAAATAACTAATCGATCCGCCAAGGTCCTGACAGGTTGGTTTAAGATGTTCTGTTGTTTCGTGCTCATGTTTGGGTGGGTGAGAGGAAAGGGGCTATGCGAGGGAGGGCGTATGGTTTTGACTTCCACGTCCTGGGTCCGTCCCTGATTGTGGGACTCTAATACGAGAGAATATCATTATATTTGTTTTTAATTGCTGTAAAAAGCGCCTGTTTCCGGTCTGCAGTTTCGATCAAATCACGTTTAATGAATAAATAAACAAGCAAATCAATGACTCATTGAACAGCAATTCCAGTATACATATCGAAACTCATTTCTGTTTAAATCCTGGCATGTTTACAAATTGATAAATTTAAAGATACTATAAATTCCTGATCTCCTGAAAGATATACGTATTCTGAATTTAAATACCAGTCGATGATCATAACTTTGATCATTTAACCTATTTATTAGTTGTTGACCTTCCGTAGCAGAACTCTACAGACTTGTCCCATAGTTCCGTCTCAATGACCTAGGAATCTTTCTTTTCTCAAGTCATATATTACTGTCTATATTGATCTAAAAGTTTTCATTACTCATTGTTATGTGTCTAGGTTCGTACAAAAAAGTGACAAGAATAAAGTAAAGCCAACGAGCTTTGTAAATTTAATAAATAATTTATTTCCCTAGAAAAACAACGTAAAAGAAGAAAAAGGATTTACGGTTTATGAATGAAATCAAAAATTAATCCAAGAGCTTAAAAGCATAAGTTATATCAATAAAAAGTTCAAAGTGAGTCACAGTTCGATTCCCGATAAAATTCCATGACAGAAGGCGATGACGTCTTCAATAACCTTCATAGTGCTGACGTATCAACAGTTCCTTGTTGAATCATAAAAAATAATAAAAATCTCAATAAATGTCTTTTTCCAAGAATTTGGATGAAGAGCAATTATATGTATATTTTCCAGAGAAATGAATTACATCCTAAGCTGTTAGAAACCATTTGTATTTTAGAGTCAATAAAAAATACGGAAAACCTGTGACAAAATTTGATCGCCTCGACAAACGTCCACGAAAACGCAAACACACAAATACAACTCTAAAGTGAACAGTGAAGATATTTGGATTTAGGGTCGTTGCATAAATCTCCTTTCTCATCTTTATAACTTATGATTTTGGATTTAACTCTTAAAGCCGACATGTATAAAGGTACATGACCATTTCTCCAAGCTTGACTGCTTTATTCTATGACCGTTTTATTCTTTATCTTTATTACAAGAGCCGCTATGTGATGTGTCAAATCTTGAAAACTCTTAGAAGCTTTGGGTAAAGGAAATGTATCAAAGTCAACTAAATTAAAGTAGAAAGGGCTAGAGATAGATGATTATTTTCATTTCAGCTCTGAACGTCAAAAGGGAATTCGTTCTAGCCGACGTAACATGACCGAGTCAGATGCTATGGTACAAGAGAATGACATAAGGCCCTTTCCCAAAATCGACGGATTAAAGGGCGGGAGCTGCCTATAGATGATTGTTCAAAGTAATGTTAATTACGGCATGATTAGTTGTTTAGTTGTCTTGTCAATCCAAAATTTCTACGGAACAGGTTTAGGAAACAGTCTATTCCTATTGGTTAATATGGATTTATGGGCGTAACTCTGTAAGAAATTAAAGGTTTTACTTTAGGAAAATTCTTTAGTCTTCAATCTTACTTGGAAAAAGAGTGGTCGAGACTCCGGGAAGAGCGTGTAAGACGTTATCTCGTGATTTGGCAGTAAAGCGGGAGTTTTGTCTCAGCGAGTAGGCAAACTCTACATTCTGAATTCGTAAAAAGTACATTTTCATTATAGAGTAAGGGGCCAGATAGTTGTCTCAGTTAGGAGAAGGACTATACGTGAGGTTCGTGGAAACGAATAAAGAAACGGCAAAAGGAAACAGCTTCCTGGATTCACATGAGAAATCCCTGAACAATCACAGGACCAGAGCAAATTCTACGCAGATATCTAAGTCCAGAGACGATTGCTAAGTCAGAGTTCGACGGACAAGAGTCCAAGACGAATAAGCTAGACAAAGATCGACGGAGCAGGGACGAACGGAAGTCTTGATGTCCGCATAAAATAGGTGATGCAGTCTCTCATCGTTGCACTCAAAGATCACATCTCATTGGCAATGAAGATAGTAATTTAACGTTGAAAGTAATTTTACATTTAAAGAAATTTGTATTGTCTTTTTATTTGAGTACATGTTAGTGCCATTTTCCTTCATTTTGTAAGCACGTCATTGATTGCTTTTCATTTTAAATTCTGTTGATAAACTGATTAAATTTTATATTTGTTCATTGAAAGGGGGCTTGTTGTGTTATTTGTTCAATATGCTTGTTCAGTGATCTGCATTCTTCTTTCTATCTA